TCAGAAAGAATGGGGAAGGGGAGCTGAAGACCACTCTGGATCTCCCTGATTCTCTGGCTCAGTGAGCCAAGACAGATCTAAAAGAGGTGCTGAAGGACCATGAAAAATTACTTGAAAACTGTAGTTCTGATAAAGGGCTTGTATCCAAAATATATAAAGAACACTTATAACTCAATAATAAAAATGCCCAACAATTAATTAAAAACTGGGAGAAAGATGTGAAAGTGCATTTAACTAAAGATACAGGAATGACTAAAAAACACAGAAATGGATGCTCCTCCACATCATTGTAAGTGCAAGTTAAAAGCACTGTGAGATAGCATTTTATACCTACTAAAAACAAACCAAAAAAACCACACAACCATCTGTGATAGAACCTCATTCATTGTGGGAATATAAAATACTACAGCCACTTTAGAAAATACTTTGACAATTTCTTTAAAAAGTTAAACACAGGGGCACCTGGTGGCTCAGTCAGTCAAGTGTCCAATTCTTGGTTTCAGCTCAGATCATGATCTCATGGGTCATGGGACTGAGCTACACTCTGTGGGATGTCTGCTTCAAAGATTCTCTCCCCTACCCCTCCCTCCACTCACACTCTCGTGCACATTTTCTCGCTCTCAAAATAAAGATCTTAAAAAAAAAGAAAAAAAAAGTAAAACATAAAAACATAGAGCCCAGCAATTCCATTTCTAGGAATCTACCCAAGAGAAATGAAAATGGATGCCCACACAAACATTTGTACATTTTCAAAGTTCTCAACAGTATCATTCATAATAGCCAAAAATTGGTAACCCAAATGCTCATTAAGTGGTGAATGAACAAAATGTGGCATGCCCATACAATGAAATATTATTCAACCATAAAAAGGAAATACTAATACATGCTACAGCCTTGAAAACATATTGCTAAGTAAAAGAAACCATACACAAAAGACCATATTTCATATAATCCTATTTATATAAATGTACAGAGAAGACAAATTTATAGAAACAGAACATATAGCTAAGTGGTTGCCAGGGGTTAGGGTGGGGACAGGGAGTGGATTCAACCAAGCATGGGGGATCTTTTGGGGGTGATGGAAATATTCTCAAACAGAATTATGGTCATGTTCACATAACTCTGCAAAGTTACGAAAACTAACTAAATTGTACCCTTAAAATGGGCAAACTTTATGTTAAGTTGTATCTCATTAAAGGGAGAAGGGGGGCTAAAATGAGAGTTAAAACATGAATATCTCAAGTCAAAGGCAATCTAAGGGCAGCTGATAAAGGACCATTTAATGTCTTCTAGTAATGAGATAAAGAGTATAGAGACCAGGGGCAACTGGGTGGCTCAGTGGGTTAAAGCCTCTGCCTTCGGCTCAGGTCATGATCCCAGGGTCCTGGGATGGAGCCCCGCATCAGGCTCTCTGCTCAGCAGGGAGCCTGCTTCCCCCCACCCCTGCCCCACTGTCTGCCTCTCTGCCTATTTGTGATCTCTGTCAAATAAATAAATAAATAAATAAATAAAAATTAAAAAAAAAAAAAAAAAGGAGTATAGAGACCAAACATAACGTCAGACCCATGAGAGACTAGAGACCAAACATGATGGCAACAGGTAGTTTAAGCAGCCTTTTGGACAATATAGCAGCATTGGACAATATAATGCTGGCAGTGAGTTGCCTGTTAAGCATGTAAGTTTGCCAACTGTTTTAACTTTAGAAACTAATGTAGTGCTGAGGTAGTGGCAAACATAGTATTGGAATGATTCTGGCAGTTTCCCAATCACTTCTATTAACTCAAGAACTAGTTAAGAGACTAAGGAAGTCATTAAGCTGGATGAACTCTCATAAGTTTAGAAAATGGGAGTGAATCTCTAAGCAAAAAGGATCAGAATGGAGAACCATCCCTACTTGAATCAGAAAGATAATCAGACCAATTTGCCTTCATAAACCTGATGAGTTTCATAACTCAAGTCTGGGAAGCAGAGGACTTGGGAGCCTTCTTCTCTTGGACCCTGTTTTTTCAACAGGACTCCCTAGGTATGGAAAGACAGTAGTACTGAGAGGAGAGTTAAGTAAGTGCTTGATTCTTTGTGAGTTATAGAAGAGTCTTAAGGTGAAGCAAGTAGAACAAGAACTTATCTTCAATGTGAAACTAAGCAAGTTGTCTAAATGAGGTACACTGGGAGTCAGAGCAATCCATTCTCCAGGTCTGGAGCAAAAATAAATTCCACTTATGAATAACTGCTTCGAGTATACTTTAATCACAAGCTACTTCCTGAGGTTAAGATAAGCCTAACTTCCTCTCACTGAACAAAAGCTCTCTCAAGACTGCAGTCCATCCCCTCCAGGTGTGTTTCTGGAAACGCAGTGGAAATTCCTCAGGGAGCATTTCTGTCTGCATTACCAAACCACAGACACCCTGCTCTCCCTGCCTTAGCCACAATTCTTCCAGATCATGATCAGCATGTCCTCAAATAAGAATCCCTGCCTATGGTAAGCACCTGTCATCCCCATCTTGTGACTAGGAGAGAAAAATGGCTTAGAGCCATGATATTACAGTTACTTAATAAGGACAGAACTTCTGTTACTAAGGTCACTGTAAAGCAATGAGGCCAAATCTGATTCACCATACTCAGAAAATTGTAGGGAGCATCTAAGCACCTTTCTTTGCATCTACCTCCTTGACTTAAAACACTCACAAAGCAAACCAAAAAAGGGTACTCTGGGTTAACAAGATTAAGCTTCCTCAGAAGCTAGATCCAAAATTTATTAGCCATAATCACTGTTTTACAGACTATTCTTTCTGCCTTTCCATCTCCTTTGAAGTGTTTTATCTTTCTCACCAAATGACCATTCCCAATCAAAAAGAAAGGAACTTTATCTTGGTCTTGACTGCAAGGTCACACACAGATAAACCCTGGAACAATGTCCAATAACCATAGTCATACATGTAACCAAAGACCATGACTCCCTGGAGCCTTGTAACAGAAGGAAAATATCAACTGCATTACGATCACTTACGCAAGGATCTGTTTCTCATTTAAGATACAATAAAGAAGTGAGGTAAGCCTATAACTGCATCTGGCCACAGGAATCTCTTGGAGACTGAGACTGAGGAGTAGAGTTTAAGGGGGGCAATCTCACAGCTAGCAAGGTTGCTAATTATGAACCCCCTCCTCCCTGCAGGCCTTTGGATAAGACTAACCTCCCTCAGCCTGAGCCAGCTGGTAGGGCTAGAGAGGTAGAAGACAGGCTAACAGGTGCTCTGAGGCTAGGAAGCCTGGACTCCAGCCTAAAGGTGCCAGAGCTGGTCAAGAAATGCACTTGCAAAATGGCAACTCCCATTTCTTAAAGACTCTCCCTACTCCCTCAACTAAGTTCCTTCAATTTGGAGACAGTCTCAAACCCTGAGATTCTTTTCAAAAGTTAATTAGGTATGTGGGGTTCCCAAACTGCAGAGAAACTCCTGCCTCAGGAAAGGCAGGAATACCAAATTTAAATGTAAGGTGCTTAATTTCTTTCATGGTAAAAATTAATACTTCACTACTTTTTGAGCATATCATTATGAATCAGAAACTTAGTAGTGACATCAAATAGACTGTATTATGTATTAGGTTGTATTACGTAAGAGGAACTGACTCAGTTGTTTTTATGAAATAGACTGCAGGTTCTGTAACTAGAAAAGAACGTAAGGAGCTACAGTAAGTGTGTAAGAAAGGAGAATTTCAGGCCTGAAAATGCTTTAGAAGTCATTTCATGTGACTATATAATTTACTGTCAAAACTGGGACACGTTGGGAAAGAAAAGGACATTATAAATACTGATGCTAGGACAAGAGGGATAAACTGGGACCCAGTACCCTGGGACAGAGAGTCACCCAACTAGAGTATACTCATTTCTCTATTCAAAATCCTTCAATGATTCTCTATCACTGCAGAGTGAATTTTAAACCACAGTCTCATCCCTAGAACTCAGGCATATGCCTCAACTATGGCACATACCATACTGGATGAAAATGGCTGATTTTTCTTGTCTCTCTCCTCTTGCCAGTCTGTGAACTCAAGGATAAGAGTCTACGTTATGGGCCTTGATAGTGCTCTACCTTAAGGCCTGTCACAAAGTAGCACTCAGTAAATACCAAGAGGCTTAGTAAAAATAATGGTTGTTCATCCTCCACCAACATCCTACGGTCTTGGCACATGTTTTCCTCTATCCATGCCTCTTCAACCCACATTCTGTATTTCGCAGGTGTCACTTCCTAGCTATGAGACTTGAGGCAAGTTAGTTAACCTCTCTGAGCCTAGTTTACTCACCCATATACACAGGAACCGTAACAGTATATACGTCACAGGATTATTAGGAACATTAAGTGAGTTACTCTATGTAAAAGTGGTTTAAACAATGCCTCACCCTCATAGTAAGCATCCAGTAAGTTTCTCAAAGGCAGAGATCGTTGTACCTTTAGTTCACTGCTATATAACTACACCAGGAATAATGCCTGACAGAACAGACAGTAAGTATGCTAAAAGTTTACTGACATACTTCTCTTCTGTTTTTCTCCCAATCCCTTGTTTTGCCTCATCAGTGCCATATACTCTATATCCCACAAACTCCTGCACTGCTACCAAAAACCTGGCTCCGTTCCCTTTAAAATGGGACACTGGTGACTAATGAACCCTCTAAGCCAGCAGTCAGTCACAACGCTTTACCTGAAACAGATTACATGATACCCCTGACTTTCCTGTCTACCAGCTGTTCAATTTTAAGTACAGACAATGATTGAAAGAACAATCCCAACGGTTTCTTAAGTCTAGGATTATTTAGCACAAGCTAACTTTCAACATCAGAGCAAATAATAAAAAAAGATCACTACTGCCTTGTGTTTCTTAAGGAAGAGAACTACCTGGAGTACATACATTCAAAGATATACAAATTTACAAACCCTATAAATCATAAACAGTAATACAAACTCAGCTTATTTTTTAAAATAAAATTTTACAAAAATAAAAATTACCTAAAATTAAGCCCACCATTGTACTTAAATATCCGGTTCCACTTCCCAGGTTAAGAAAAGACAATCCTGGTTGAAGTTTCAATGCTTCCATAACTTCAGAATAAATGCAAGGAGCCGACAAGTGTATGTTCCCATGCTTCCAGGCTAAGTCTTTGTAAGCGTTGTCTCGGTAGCCTTCCAAATAGTAATCTCCGCGGTCAATCGCTCTGAAGGCTTGCTCCACTCTTTCAGTGCGGATATACTGAGCTTCTTTTAAGTTATCAATTAAGTCATCATTATCTTCCCCAGCACTCACTGCTCCTCCCATGATAGTATTCAAATCAAATCATAAATTTTAAAATGTAATAAAATTAGCAGAAATGGCTTCCAATAAGGTAGTGTGGTTTGTTTTCCCTTTAATATTGCACTTGATTTCCAAAAATAAATTAATCCTGAAAGGGAAGAATAAAAATAAACAGGTTTAAATTAATGCTCACAGGAAAGTAATTCCAGTTTATTAAATACGTAATAGTCATCGTAACTATCATTTTTCAAGGACATATTCTGTTTTAGGCATAGTTTTAAGTTCTTTAAATATATTAGTTTATTTATTCTTTAACAACCACAAAAGGTAGCTTAAGTTTGATCTCATCTGTACAGATGGGAAATCTGGGACACATAAGGTTTCAGTTCACTTCATACCATCAGGCCCAATATGATAGCCATTAGGCGTGGCTACCTAGACCAAAATTAAAATTAAATGCAATTTAAAATTCAGTTGGGCACACTAGCCACACTTCAAGTGCTTAATAGCTACATGTGGCCAGTAGCTGTCACACTGAACAGAGCTGCTCTAGAAAGTGACAGTGCTGGGATACAGTCCCAGGTCTTTCAGACTTCAGAAATCATGCTCTTAAGCATTAATTAAGCCAGGTGGCCTTTGGAGTACCATGAGTCTAGTTCAATACGCATAAATTACCTGATTGATTTAAAATTCCTAAACTTAAAAATCCACTAACACCTAAATGCTAAACATCTTAAACGCACCAAATAAATTCAAAATGTTAACACAAAGTAACATATTACCCACAGAATACAAAATATAAAAAAAACACAACAGATCCATATGTTTAAAATGTACACACCCACACACAAGTAGAGACATATTGAGATTGTTTTATTTTGTAAACCCTGTGGTGATAAATAAGGAGACCACAAATTTTATTAACAACTTTAATGGTACACGCACCAGAACATATGTTACACATACAAATACAATAAACTTCTTTAAAGTCAAATTCAGCATCTTTAAATGAACACAGTGCAACCTGATAAACTAAATTTCAATACATCATAATGAACACAATTTAATCTTTATTCAATTACAGTTAATAAATTCATATAACAATTTGTGAATTAATACATCAGGAGAAGGGAAGTGAAAAATGAAATGCTTAGAGCAAAAAGTAAGAGTTATGATGGCCAGACTATGGCAAGGCTGTAAACTCACTCCTGACCTTAGAGAAGAAAAGAAACTGATGCTTCGAGCTTCGTCAGGGTCCTCACACCTCTGGTACCAACCTGCCTGAGCAGTACTGGGGCAGGTGCCTCACCAGGTCCTGTCCCTGTCCCCACTGCCTGCCTCTGTCCTCTTCCGTATTTTCAAATTATCTCCTTAAACTTTCTGAGTGGAGGAAATATTGTGAACTCATGTCACACTCCTATTTAAATTATTCAAACTCACTTATACAAACATGGCTGGCTCCAATGCCCCCCACACCCCAAAAAAGAAGTAACTGAAAAAAATACATGGTTTCATAGCACCATTCTCCTCAACGAGTGTACTTCGTGGCATGTAGTACAACTGGAGACATCAATCCACTCTTCCTTCAACAGGTCTTAGTTTGGACATCCTTTTATAGCCCAAGCATCTCAACTCTCTGAGCACAATTCTAGCATTTAAAGTTGGTGTGCGGGGGGCACCTGGATGGCTCAGTGGGTTAAAGTTGGTGTGGGTTTTTTTTTGTTTTGTTTTGTTTTTACTAACATGGCCTCTAAGCATAGGTTAACTTTTTTACCCGGTAATCAGATCGAATGCCCTCCCAAAATGAAAGAAAAACTGCTACATTAGACTAGGAGGCAGCTTCGGTTGAGTCTCCAATGTTGCACTTACCTCAGGACTTTATAAGCCTAATTCTGACTATGCAGACATTTAATGGCTCTCCTGGAAATGCTGTATTTTACTAGTCTGAAAAATTATTCCACAAAGCAACCTAATCCTTCTCAGGTCCTTCTGAACTCTAATCTGTCCAAAATTATCACAGCAAAATAAACAAACGTTGACTTTACTGCACAAAAGCGCACACTCCTGGTGAGAAAGGCAAAGAGGAAGACTCAAACCAACAAGAACTACGACCATTTGCTGGTGAACACTGTACTAAGTGTTTTTTGTATATTATCTCTTTAAAAGCTACAATAAGCCTATGAGGAAGGCACTCCTATGACCACTTTCAAATAGAAATAATGTGTAAAGGACTAGGGCACTACAATGCATGTGACTGTGGCTAAAGGTGCCCAGGGGAAACTGGATCCAGGGATCCAGGAAAGCTTTCTTAAAAAGGCATGGATTGTGTAATGCAATTAAAGGACTAAGGGAATTAAAGGCTGAGGATATGGCTGGTATTAAAGCAAGAAAGCAGATAAAACTTCTAAGAAACTACATGTAGTTGAGTACCTTCCAGCACCGTAAGACATTTATCCAGCAGACCAGTTTTTTTGTTTGTTTGTTTTTTAAAGCCTGGACCCTTTTGAGAATCTGGTATTTCTGGGCCCCTTTCTCTAATTAAAAAAAAAAAAAAAGAATGAATGCAAAGTTTCACATCCAACTTCAGAAAGATCCTGAGTTCCTACAGACCCATGAGTTAAATCTAATTAAAGAACATCTATTAGATGCAAAGAAGTTAGCCACAGGTACTAACAAGAAAGGGAGAATTACATTTGCATTGTAGAAAGCGCAGTGTAATTTGTGTTTCTGATCTACTGCAACACACAGAGACCAAGTACTCGGAAATTTGGGAAACATGGGGCACCTGGGAGGCTCAGTGGGTTAAAGCCCCTGCCTTCAGCTCAGGTCATGATCTCAGGGTCCTGGGATGGAGCCCTGCATCAGGCTCTCTGCTCAGCAGGGAGCCTGCTTCCTCCACTCTCTCTCTGCCTGCCTCTCTGCCTACTTGTGATCTGTGTCAAACAAATAAATAAATAAATAAAATCTTAAAAAAAAAAAAAAAGAAGGAAATTTGGGACACACATCACACCTTGTTAACAAGGAGCACCACAAAAATTTGAAGCCAGATTTCCCAGACTCCTTTCCCTATTTTGATAGGAAAGATGAATAAATCTAAACACAAAGCTGTAAGGTATCCAGGAGGGAGGCGGTCAGGAAAGGTTTTATGGAATAAGATGTGCAATCACTTACAATGCATCATGTTTCTTTAACACAAATTGTTAATTCATACATTTAGGTTACATAAGTTACATAAGGTAACAATGTGCAGATAATGAAGTTGTGGTGGTTTCCCTGTTCATGTTTGGAAGTGACAGGAAGGTACAAGCTTACACATATTAAAAAGATACCTTAGCAACTTAAGAAAACTTTCAGTAAAAAGCTGAAAATAGAGAGTGTCCACCTCTAAGGCAATTCAAGTGGTCTAAGGAAGCTGTGAATGCAGACCAAAAAAATGTTAAGACACTGTCTCTAGGTAAAAGCAACAGATTAATTGAGGCTACACCCAGATTCAGATTTTTAAATTTTGATAAAAATATACATATGCAAATAAAACAATATCCATAAGCAAATTATCTTCTAGAACCTAAATTTCAGAGGAAGACGAACCTTAGGGTTTAAGACTATGAATGACTGACTGACTATGATGCTTACATGCAAATCCCAGTAGATTTAGCTATGCTAAAAATTATATTTTTTTGTTTTTTGTTTTTGTTGGTAAACTGGTTACACAGATGCATATGTTTTCAGTAGTATGTTCCAAGGCTATTTTTCCCACTAGTCCTATTGTTTTGCAAAAGATTAGTGGGTGTTTTCTTGATGCTATAGAAAAACTCAGTACTGGACTTGTCAGGCCCTTGAAAGAACCTTAAGGAAACATGAGGGTCCTCGGACCACCCCTGGAGAAGAGATGGCCTGAAAAACTACAAAATGGGATGGGCAGACCGTGGTAGAGTTATACAGAGGTGTTATGGAACACCAGCCCAGACATGGGGGTGGAGACAAAAGGATGAGAAGATTTTCCTAAATATGAAGATGTGGTAAGTACAGAGGCAGAAGGGAGTAGAGGTGTTCAAAACAAGCAGAAAAAGACAAGGAGACAAGAGGCGATGCACCCACCCACTTGCAGCACTACAAATTGTGTAAATGCATTATTTGAACAAAACTGACAAGTAAAACTGAAAATAAAGAGGGATACATAAATGTGTGTATGTATTTTTTTTAACCAGAATAAGTTAAAAGAGAAGAGAATATAATTTCCTAAGGAATAAAAATATATTTAACCAATAGGCTACAGTAGAAAAATCGAAGAACAAAAAAAGAGATACTAATATAATAATTTATACTACAGAGTTTCAAAGATAAGTCATTTTATCATATACATATTCCTGATAGTGGGTGGAAAATGAACTATTATAAATTAAATTACATTTTCATAACACTAACCAATTCAATTATAATAGTATGTGCATTCGTAGAAAATTTGAAATCAATAAAAATTACTCATAACCTGAATATTCAAAGAGCCACTGTTAATATTTACTTTCTAAGCACCTATCCACTTCCTTTTTAACACAATATTAGTATTATATGGTATATATTTCAAACTTTTGTGTAATGTGTCTTAAAGAATTTCATGCCATCAAAAATTCTTCCAAAATCCAAAAGTGCGATATCCCACCACAAGGAGGCACCAAAATGTAATCAGTCCCCTGACTGCTGGACCATGAATTTTGGATTATAATTAATGTACATGTGAGGAGTTTGCAAGTTAAAAATCTGTAATAAATATTGTTATAATTCCATAATAATCCCCTAACTTGAAATATACTTCATTTTTACGAGTAAAGCAAATACTATTAAAAAACCACCATAGCATTAAGTCATGGAAGCATTTGCAATTTGTTAATTCTGAGATAATTCCATCTCAGTCATGGAAAAGTGCCAAATACAAGTCAAGAGACCAAGGTCTAGCCTTGGTCCCACTGATAACTTTTCTGTATGGCTCTGGGCAGCTCTCCAGAACATCATTTCCTCACCTGTGACATGAAGAGGCTAAATTCTATGATTCCTAAGGTTCCCCAGAGCTCTAATTTCCCTGCTATTTTGGCATCAAATCCGTATTTGAGTACAGCTCAGTTTTAGTTATCCAGAAATGTCTGTTCATGC